AATAAATTACAACTGAAAAACGGAAAGATTTTATAACTGAGGCGAGTAAAACTCTTTCCGCAAGAAGAATACGCCCCGTGTGGCAGCTAACGGTTCAGGCGTAACTTCCCCAAAGATACAACGGCAAACGTCTCTAAATCTGTAGCACACCAGATTTACGAGCTCCGGCAAACGGGAACAGAGTCGAGAATTGAGCACTTAAAAATAAAAGATATATCATAAAACAAATAAAAATATCACTTGTTCTCTTTTGATATTTTTTTATATCCGATATTTGGACGTAAATTTATATTTTCTTTCCTTTATCTTTCTTTTTCCTTTCCTCTCTTTTCCTCTTCTTGGTGCATTTTCCTCTTCTGGCCGAGTGCCTATTTATAGACACAAATCTTCTAACAATTTGGCCAATTTACCAACAAGTAGCAATCCCAACTATAATTTATTATTATTATTATATATATATATATATATTTTTTTGTATTTTAAACAATTGGGAATTGGGCGGTGGACATGTGGGCATGTTACCTTCCCTTGACTTTCCTCTTTACATAACAACTTACAATTAAACCAATGTCAAATGTCAATCCACGTATACAAGCCAAACACACAATTCGACCATTCCAGTGTCATTCACCAATATCAAAAACAAGATAACAACATTCAAAAGTGATAAATCAAGAAAAATGAAGTATGGAAGTCACCCTTTAGGGTTAGACACGAGTCTCAATAAATAAGGGTTCGAAAAATGTTCAAACAATTGAATTTTAAAAAGCTAGATCGCGACCTTTTCGAGTTGCAGTGAACAAAACTTGCGAGGTGCTCGGTAATTGTGAGCCTGGAGCCTCGGATATGTCTACGGACCATGGAGCCTCTGCAGGTCGCAGTGAAGAAAAGTCGTTGTGGGCGACAGGCACGCAAGCAGCCTGGGCGACGGTAGGCGTGCGCGGGCGACGTCTGTGCGAAGGATGGGGGCGACGAGGCTGCGTGTGCGAGGTCTGCGAGCTGCGGTTGTCCGACTGTCTCGGCTTGCGTTTTTCGAGATGTGTGAAGTTCGTTCCAACGAGTTATCGGCAAAAGTATCAGATCAACATTTTCCTACAAAATAAAATATAAAAGTAGGCGAGTAAAGCACAAAAATATGCAAATAACACAAAAACACACAAACGAGCATAAACAACCTAAAATACATCAAAAGCTAAAACACAATTCCAATAAACTAAAAAATAAGACCATACAAATTTATAAAAATGGTAACAAAAACATACACAACACATGCCAACTATTACCCAAAAGAACTACTTATTACCCAATATTATGTTGGAAAAATAAAGTGAATTCGAGAAATAATTATGTAAGTCAACAATATTAATTGCAATGAGTCCTAGACCCATAATCATTTAGTCTTAAACTGTAGCATTGTCGAGCCTTAGTTCATAAAACCTTCGTTAGCATTCATTACTCAAATTAAAGGGTGTACCAAACTTGTAGACTTTCCCATTGCTATTATGTACTACTTGTATAGAGTTGGTTCAAAAGGGAGAACAAAGTCAACGAGATAATCAATCTACATATAGTTGTGTTTTAGTTTAGTTGACCTTTATTTCAGTTCTTCAAAATTGATCTTTTTTATTTTTATTTTTTAATTATTATGGGAAATAAACGTTCATATGAAATGAATATGTATTTTATATAGGCGTCAAGTTTTTATTATTTTATTCATACTATTTTTATTTTTCCTATAAATCGCCCTATAGATTATACTTCACGCGTACATGAAATATATTAGTATTTACAATTATAAAACACATTCTATGTGTTCATATAATATATTAGTATTTATAATTATAAAACACATAAATTTTAAGGGCTTCATTGGATGTATAATAAATATCCTGTTATGACTGGTTATATTTTTTTTCAATTCAAAATATAACTCAAATTTAGCTCGACTCAACTATTTTCTATATTATTAATATAATTAAATAATATCAAGCAATCATACTTACACATCATATCAACTTATTTACTATTAATTCACATAATCATAATTACTCATCAATTTCAATCACTTCTCTCATATTTTTACATCAAATTAACTTTAATCATTACATTTAAATATTATTTTAATGAAAAATAAGCACACTCAAGTCAAACTCAATCAACCTTTTTTTTTTCAAAATCAAATCACTTTATATGACAAATCCAATCAAATTCATATTAACTTTTATTCAATCAAGCCCTGGTCAGTTACTTACCGTTGAATCATGGATACGATAT